GCGAGACGCAGGCTCACGACGCTCAGTAAGACCTCCAGTAGGACCAGCGTAGGGAGAAGGAGTAGGCAAAGGAGAGGTAGGCTGTAGCTGTGACTGTGACGGGACAGGCGGTGGACCCTCCAAGGGAGGAGGAGGAACAGTAGAAAGCGGAAGACCAAGAACCTGCTGCAGGAGTGGAACGAAGTACGGTCGAGGCCGCGCAGCGACGCCAGAAACAGCAGGGACAGCACCAGTACCCCCAGCAGGAGCACCCGCTCCAGCAGCACCTCCAGCAGCTCCAGAACCTCCAGCAACACTAGGAGCACCCCCAGCAGGACCGCCAGTGGTAGTCTCAGCGCCAACACCCTCAGCAGCACCAGCTCCAGTCGAACCTGCAGGCCCAGCAGCTCCAGTACTCCCAGTACGAGCACCTCCGGGACCCGCAACAGCAGCACCCTCAGTAGCCGAAGAACCTCCAGCACCAGCAGCACGGCTCCAGCGCCGGGCAAACCACTCGCGCAGCTCCTGTGGAGAGAGTGGCTCCCGGCGAGACGAAGCACGCGGAGAGCCTCCAGACTCAGCACCCCCAGGCCCAGCACCCCCAGGCACAGCACCCCCAGGCACAGCACCCCCAGGCGTAGCACCCCCACACTCAGCACCCCCAGGCTCAGCACCCCCAGGCGTAGCACCCCCAGACTCAGCACCCCCAGGCCCAGCACCCCCAGGCTCAGCACCTCCAGGCTCAGCACCCTCAGCAGCACCAGAGTCACCAGTGACCTCGACAGGCTCGACTGCGTCTACCTGGGACACACCTGAAGGGGCAGGACCCTGAGGGGGGAGGGGGTCTACCGGGGGGGGACCTGGTACAAGGAAGAGTGGGGGCGGGGGGAGGGACGGAGTGCGGTAGGGGAAGAGGCGGTAGTAGGGGACCGACTCGTCGAACGTGACGTCCTGGGAGGACAGAACACGGCGAGAGGTGGGGTGGTAGAACTGCCACCCAGGCGCGTCGGGGGGGAACCCCAGGAAGACGCAAGGAGCAGCACGAGGGGACAGCTTGTCCGCAGACAAGTCGCGGACAAACGCTCTAGACCCCCAGACCCGGAACGCCGACGCATCGCCAACCTTCCCCGTCCACAGCAAGGCTGGGGAGGTCTCCGGCCTGGAGACCCTGGGGTGAAGGTTGAGCTGATGCGCCGCGTACCTCACCGCAAACGGCCACAGAAAATGGGGGGCAGCCGCATGCATCATAGACGTACGAGCGACGTCCATGACCATGCCAATGCGGCGCTCAGCAATCCCATTTTGCTGCGGAGAGTCCGGAAGCGTGAAGGTCTGACGGATGCCTCGTGCACGACAGTAGGCTCGCAGAAGGCCAGAGGAGAACTCCCCGCCTCTGTCCGAGTGCAGACGCAGAACAGGAAAGTCGGAGCCAAAGCTCTGCCGGAGCTGGAGACGAGCTGCGCGGATCCAGTCGATCAGCACCTCAGTGACATCACCCTTGCTGCGCAAGGGGAAGACTGCGGTGTAACGCGAGTAGTCGTCAACAACTAGTAGGAAGAAGCGCTCGTGACCCTGCCCACGGACGCGGGCTGGGCCCCACACGTCCATGTGAAGCGTCTGCAACGGGGCCTCTGTCGGAGGAAACTGGGAGGAGTGAGGGGCAGCACGCTGGCGCCCCTCGACACAGGGGACACAGGTTAGGCCAGGGCCCTGAGGAAGGGGAGGGAGGGACCGGGGGAGACCAGACACTAGAAGGCGGGAGGCCATGCCTCTGAGCCGAAGCAGAGAGGGGTGACCAAGACGGTGGTGCCAGAGGAGAGTCTCGTGAGACAGGAGACGACACGAACAGGGGGCAGACTCAGGACCAGACCTGGACGCTCCAGCAAACACCCGACCCGACGAAGCGACTCTACCAGACTCAGTAACGGGAGGAGACGCAGTGGTCAGTGTGTACAGGCTCGACCCCGGCTGACGGGTAAACGTAGCCAGGTGTCGGCCTGTGCTAGCCTCTGTACAGTGGGTCACCCGCTGACGTGCGGGAGTGAACTGGTGTACACCCGCATCCTGTAGGTCAGCACCACTCACCAGGTTCGTAGAGAACGAGGGGAGGTAGAGACCAGACAGGGTGCCAGAGGGAGCCGCCGGACACGGGAGGACTGTGGAGAAGTGACACAGGACAGGACCCCCAGAGGGGTCAGCCAGAGACACTGCAACCGGTCGACTCAGCGGTGTGAGTGTGGTGCGGTCCCGAAAGAAGGAGCGAGACGCCCCAGAGTCAAGGGTGAAGGTGAGGGAGGCCGAAGTCGACGTAGTACCTGAGAGCGCAGACTCACCAGTACCTGAGGACGCAGACACACGAGCACCTAGAGCAGCAGCGTCGCAAGTACCTAGGACAGCAGCCTCACCAGGACCTAGAGCAGCAGTCTCAATGCCCGGATCGGGCGGGAAACACCGGTAACAGTCACCCTCATCACTAATAGACACAGCATACATGGCAGAGAGAATAGCATCAAAGTCAAGATCATAGATGGCAACACCCGCCCTAGACAGCTCGCCCCAGCGAGGGATCTCGGAGGCCTCCGGGAACTGGTGATGCCACGCGTCCGTCAGGCGGCCAAAGCAGCGCTGGGTGGGGTGGGCACCCCCACACTGCTCACCCGCACGGTCGCCAGTGCGCAAAACGTAGGAGCACGGACCAAAACCCCCACCCCGCTGACGCGCAGTGTACCACTCACGAAGCTGCTGAGGGGACAGGGTGTCACGACCACGCTGCTGCTGCTGGCGCGAGCCACCACCGGAGCCACTCCTCTGCGAAGACCCCCGCCGCCTCCGACGCCTCCGCCGCCTCCGCTACTGCCGCCGCCTCCGCCTCCGCCTCCGTCTCCACCGCCGCCACCTCCGCCTCCGCTCCCACTGCCACCGCCGCCGCCACCTCTACCTCCACTGCCGCCACCGACCCCTCCACCCCCACCTCCACTCCCACCGCCACCCCCACTCCCCCCACTGCCGCCACCTCCACCTCCACCGCCCCCGCTCGCTCCTCCAGCGCCCTTGCCCCCCTTGCCCTTGCCAGTGCGGCGTCTCCCGCTAGGGGCAGACGCCACACCGACCGACTCAAGACCAAGGAGGTCGGCCGCAGCAGCAGAGGCAACAGAGGGCAGAAGGGGGGAGGGGGAACACCCCTCAAAGATGGGGGTGCGCGGGTCACCACGAGAGGCCCCTACAGCGACTATGCTCTTCTCGGCCGCTAGGAGGGACTTCTCGAGGAGGTCAACAGTGAGAGTGGTGGGACAGACAGAGAGAAAGTGGTCCCTGACTACGCGAAGGGAGTCAGGAAGGCGAGTGACTATGTAGTAAAGAGTGATGTACATGGGGGGGGGGTTCTTGGCGCAGAAGTCAGGAGGGAGTGCAGCGCGGTAGCGAGTGTCACTAGTGCGGAGGTGCGTAATGAGGTCAGCGACTGTGGGAAAGGCAGCAAGGTCAGGAAAGAGGTACGGTAGCATGAGACGGCACAGTGCAGCAGTGGCAGGGGAGGAGTAGCGCGCAACTACAGCGTCGTACAAGGTCTGAGCACTCTTGTACTGACTAAAGTGCGCACGCTCGGAGGTAGGGAGGTGGCGACGCACAGCAAGACGTGCAGCAGCGTCGCGCGTGGCCCACTGGGAGCGAACAGTGGCGTCAGCATCAGCAGCAGGGGCAGTGGAGGTGCCAGAGGTGAGGTCAAAGAGAGAGAGGCCGTCTGCCCTATCGCACTGTAAGAACAGCTGCAGGTCATCTACCCAGACCTCAAAGTCAATGGCCCGACCCTCAGCGTCAAAGGCGAGAACACTAGGGGTAGTCATGACCCTAGACGACTAGCAGCGCAAACAGTAGGGTGAGGACAGTGCAGTGAAAAGGCGCTGTGCTCACCAGACTGGGCAGGTCGGGCGGCCCGGAAGGAGGGCGGCGCGGCGGCTCGGCGGCTCAGCTGCTGGGCGGCTCGGCGGCTCGGCGGCTCCGCTGCTGGGCGGCTCGGCTGCTGGGCGGCTCGGCTGCTGGGCGGCGCGGCTGCTGGGCGGCTCGGCTGCTGGGCGGCTCGGCTGCTGGGCGGCTCGGCTGCTGGGCGGTTCGGCTGCTCGGCTGCTGGGCTGCTGGGCGGCTCGGTTGTCCGGCTGCTCGGTCGCTGGGCGGCTCGGCTGTGCTGCGGCAGGGCGGCGCGGCAGGGCAGCAGGTGACGGGGCCGCAGGTAAGGGCGGCGGGGCCGCTGGTAAGGGCGGCGTGGCCGCGGGTAGGGTAGCGGGGCCGCAGGTAGGGTGGCGGGGCCGCAGGTAAGGCGGCGGGGCCGCGGGTAGGGTGGCGGGGCCGCAGGTAAGGTGGCGGGGCCGCGGGTAGGGTGGCGGGGCCGCAGGGAAGGTGGCGGGGCCGCAGCAGAGGGCGGCGGGGCCGCAGGTAAGGTGGCGGGGCCGCGGGTAGGGTGGCGGGGCCGCAGATAAGGTGGCGGGGCCGCAGGTAAGGTGGCGGGGCCGCAGCAGAGGGCCGCAGGTAAGGTGGCAGGGCCGCAGGTGAGGGCGGCACGAGGGGCCGCGGAGGTCGGCAGCGTGCCGTAAGGGCAGCACGCGACGCCGCTAAGGGCGGCGACGGGCCGTTACGGGCGGCGCAAGGGCGGCGACGGGCCGCTTAGGGTGGCGACAGGCCGCGAAGGGCGGCGACGGGCCGATGTAAGGGCGGCGCAAGGGAGGCCGCGAGGGGCGACGCGACAGTAGAGAGGGCACACGAGGCGCGACTCGGGCCTAAACTAAGCGCGCTCCGGGCAGGAAAAAAAAAATTTCGACTTGGTGGGCCCTAGGAACAGTTCCCACGAGGGAACCTGCTCGATACCATGAGAAGAAACGAGAAATGGATGAACTATGAATGAAGTGGGTACAAGTACTAACCCTAATTGGGTTGTACCCCCTATGGGATACCCCACTACAGCCTACACAAAAGTATAAGCTATAATGTTCTGACAGGATGGGTTTCCCTATGTGAAGTGCAGTGTCTGCATGGCCTACGGGAAGGAGAACACGAGGTTCGCGAGGCAGGGTGATGATGGAGGCCGTGACATGCAGATGCAGGCGTTTCGCGTACACGAGCACACGGACGCGCACAAAGCGGCTGTTGACCAGCAGCTGAAGATTGCGAGAGGCATCCGCGAGGGGCAGCAAGTGATTTCAAACTTCATCAACTCGGACGTCGAGGGCAGGCGCGCCGTCCGACTGTTGCGGTCGGTTGTGTTTCTGTGCAAGTGCGACGCGCCGATAAGCATGTACCCTAGGCTGATGCGGCATCTCGCGGAGCAGGACACGCCCGACATCCCGAGACAGTCTTACGGTGTTTATCTCACACGGTAGGACATTTTAGTTACAATCTTGCTGTATAGAATTCGTGGTAATGAAATATTTTCCCCCATAAAGACTAACTGAAAGACCTACATCTCTGCGCAGGTACGGCTTCCAGCAGATGGTTCACTGCCTCAGTACGTACTTGACGAATGCGCAGATGGACCACATTAACTCCTCACCGTTCCTGGGCCTGCAATGCGACGAGAGCACTGACCGAACGCGTGGTAAACACATGATTGTTTACCTGACCTTCATCAAGGACCGCCGAGTCGTCACCGAGTTCTTCACCCTCCTGACTGTGGAGAAGTGTGATGCTGCGTCCCTGTTCGAGGTGCTCATGAATCATCTGCGCTCCGCAGCCGTCGACGTGTCGAAGCTTGTCGGAATCAGTACGGACGGGGCTTCGGTCATGACGGGGAAGGACAACGGATTGGTGGCGCGGATCAGGGAGCACGCCCCGCATCTCTTTTCCTGTCACTGCATCGCGCACCGGTAAGATTTAGTGCCAGTTATTGATCCAGTTCATGTTGCTTGCCTGATTTGTACTCTAACAATTATTAACGTTGTCTATTGCAGGGAGGCGCTGGCTGTTAAGGACGCGGCGACGTCCAACCCCGACCTCGGCATGGTGGACAAGGTGGTGCGCACCGTGGCGGCAAAACTAGGAGATTCTTCAGTCTGGAGCCAACGGTTCAAGTACCTGCAGCGTGTGATCTACAACACTAACCTCGAAGTCCAGGGGATCCACACGGTTCGCTGGCTCTCACGTGGAGATGCAGTGCGACGGCTGTACAAGGTGCTCGGTGCGTGTATCGTTCTTCTGTGGGAGCGGAGTCACAAGGTGTACGAGATCGTCACGTGCTACAAGTTCCAGTTTTGCCTGTTCTTCCTCGCCGACATCCTCGCCGACATGAACGACCTCAACCGCTGTTTCCAGAAGCGAGATGTGAGTTTGTTTAATCTTCCACGAACACGCCTCTGCTAGTGTCTCCAATTTATCGAGTGTTGGATGTAAAATGACATGTCCTGTATGACTGTGCCCTTACAGATTGATGTGACGGAGATTGCGAAGACCATCGAGGCCACCACGGCGGATCTGACTGAGCGGTATTTGGATACCGACAAGCAGTTCGGTGGCGAGGGCAAGTGCTGGCTGGTCGGCTTTCTGAAGCTGCACGGGCATGGTGGAGGCAAGAAGGTCCGTGTGAGAGGCGTGGACAGGGAGGGACGCCCAGTGAACCATCTGTACACCATGCACGAGCGGAAGCTCCCGGGGCACAAGGTGGGGAGCGGATACGAGGAGTGCGTGAAGCTGTGCCGCAGTTTCGCCCGCGATTGTGTGGACAATCTCAACGAGCGGCTTGATGACCTGGGGAAGCTGGGGCCGACGAAGCTGTTTCGGGCCGGAAAGTGGCCGAAGATCAAGGCACAACGGGAGAAGAAGTGTCGTGAGTGGCTTCTGGGATGCAGCAAACTCTTCCGCCACAAGCTGCCGGGATTCGACCTCAAGGCCACAGAGAGGGAGCTTCCCACATTCTGTGCGATCATGGAGGCGCACCACGAGCTGGAAAGCTTCACGCAGGGACTGACCAACATTCTCGGGAGCGCGGACTCGAAGAGGTATGTCCCCGTAGTGTGACAGCATGCTATGCCATGCGGGAGTCTAATGTATTTTGTGCATGTGGTCACTCTGTTTCCCACCCATCTCCGACAATGTGCCTGGCAGGAGGTGTCCCAACCTCGTCCTCCTGTGGCAGGCGATCGCGGTGCTCCCCCTGTCAACTGTGGAGTGTGAGAGAGGATTCTCGAGGCAAAATGTTATCAAGTCTTGGGTGCGCGGCGCTCTCTGCAACGCGCGGCTGGGGGAGCTGATGCACATTTCGCTCCTGAATTACGACATCGAGTGGCCGGACGCCCTGGAGGTCTGGAGGTCTATGAGGAGGAGGCGCCCCGCAAAGAGCGTGAAACTTGCTGTGGCTGATCGCGAAAGGAGGGGGAAAGCAAAGGAGGGTGAAGTCGAAGCAGGAGCTGCCCACCAGAACGATGGGGAGGAGGACGAGGAGGAGGAGGAGGAGGATGTGGAACAGGCCCTGGGCGACGATCAGGAGCTTGTGGGGGAGGAGGAGGAGGAGGACAATCCCTTCCTTTCGGACGATGAGGATGTGGAGGAAGTGTTCCACATCGATAGGCCTGTGCACTAGAATAGAGTAGATGTAGGAGGAAATTTGTTACAGGCTGTACATTGCAGTAATCACCCTAGTAAAATTTGAAATACAACCCTGAATTCAGGCTGTCGACCCTGACTCATCAGAGTGACTAGTTGTTGAACCCTGAGCCATCAGGGTGACAATCTTCTGAACAATGTGCACTCATAATCGAGGGAAAAAAAATTTAGCGGCATCAGGGAGCCCTAAAGTGAAACGTCAGCCCTGGCTGGAATGCCCTGCCAGCGCAGCATCTTCGTGCCGCGATAACCTCCTCTCCGGGTTCAGACAGGGGGTACCCGTCTCTCCCCGACGAGGACCCCGAGGCGCTAACCAGAAGGGGTCCCTTTGAATCTCTCATTTGTTCTCCATCTCTCTAAGTTTCTCGTTCGGGTTCTTGGTAGTTCTCGCCTGGCTGCCGCCGCCATGGCGGAATTCAGCGGCACCCACTTCTTGTTCAAGAAAAAGCCTACGCGAAGGCCCGCGTTTAGAGTAGACGCTGACGGGTGGTACTCCCGTATCCCACCAGAACCACCAGAGCCACCACGGCCTCCTGCGCCTCCTGCGCCTCCTGTGCCTCCTGCTCCTCCTTCGCCTCCTGCACCTCCTGCGCCTCCTGTTCCTCCTGCTCCTCCGCCTCTGGGTCCTGTGTCTCCGCAACTCACTGGCAATCAGCCCGTGCTCACGATACTGCTCCCATCGGCGTTCGACGAATACCTCTCCGAACCGGAGTCTAACAAGGCGCAAGATGAGTACGTGGAAGTGGAACACTTTCCTGGAGGACGTTGGGGACAGCCCGACGATTGCCCTTGGGACGAATCTGCGGTCGGCGCCGACGATGATGTTGCTGACGCAGAGGAAGCGAGCGGCGCTGACGGCGCCGAGGGTGGCACGGAGGCTTCCGCCGGGGGCGGCGCCCAGGGCGGCACCGCTGACGATGTGTTTCCAGAAGGTGTTACGGGCGACGCTGACGACGACGGCGTTGAGTACTGGTCACGCGACGGGCTACCCGAGAAACTGCCCATACCAACCTATCCTCCGAATAATCGCAAGCGACCCCACCCCTCTTCACAGAACCGTGATGCCCGCCCCCCCTCTCCCAGGCACAAGCTCACCGACCACAAGCGGCAAGGTTACACCGCCGCGGAGAAGTTGAAGTGGGTTGCTCTGCTGGACTTGGCGGTGTCGGTGCGCGTGGCTCGCGAGAGCGGAATCCACCGGAAGTGTCTCACCAACTGGAAGCTGTTGGTGCAACCCTACGGTTTGCACTCGGCTTGTTGTCCGTGTGCGTGAATGTGTGTGTGTATGGAATGGTATGAGGGCATGGGATAATATACATTTCATGCTTATAATTGTGTGTGAATGTTGAGTCATGATGTCGAGTGTGTGTGTCGAGTCAATAGCGAGTTATCGCTAGACGCGTGTTACGCGGTCGTTTGTGTCTCGCGCGCGGTTTCTATTTTGTCGTGCGCGGTTTCTATTTTGTCCTGTGTCGAACGTTCGGCGTGTCGCAGGTGTGTGCAGCAGACCCATCAAGAACTCAAGAATGAGTTTGTGATGAAGAGCCCGAGCCTTGGTGTCAAGCCTCAAGTGATTTCGAAGCTTGCCAAAAGGGTACACCTCAAGATATTGAAGATAGTTACATTACTTTGTGTAGTGTAACATTTCACTTGGTGTAGGCCCTAGTGAAGGGTAGTTTCGAGATCCTTCGTGGTTGGGGACAGTGTGGCACTGTTCCACATCACTGTACCTCGGCTCTTGGGGTTTGTAGGAGCTGGGAGTCATTCCCAACTCGTAACTCTTCCTATCTTGTGTTCTAAGACTATAGTGGCTGCCATAGTACCGTTCGTTCAAACCGACGCTGTGTCGTCAATTCTTTATCAAATCGTGCAATCTAAATTGCTAGTTGTAGACGACGTGAAGACGCTCCAGATCCAATTTGAATCAGGTCATTTGCAGCTGTGAGCAGAACGCTATCAACGTTTGAAGCCGCTATGCAGAAATCCGTCTGTGCTCTCTCTATCTTTCGTTTTAGGCACATTCAAGCCTATTGTGACTATAACAAGTGGTATCAGAGGCCCTTGGAGCAGTTTCGACAATTTCTGGACCTGAGGAAAGGGGTGGCAGAGGTGCTGGTGGCAGTGGAGAAGCTCAAGCTCAAGGCCAACCCCGTGATTCAGCCATGGCGCCCATGCAACCAAGTCTTGGCCCACCTAGGGATGAGCCTAGGGTGTTTGGGCTTGACAAGTTCAACGGTGACAACTTTGCTGAATGGTCCTTCAAGATGGAGAACATCTTTGACCACTATGACCTGCTTGAGGTGATGGAAGGAACGGAGAAGCGCCCCGAGAACGACCCGGAGAAGAGCCCGTGGGTGCGGAAGAGCGCACAAGGCTATCTCTTACTTGGGCAAGCGTTGGGGAGCAGTCAGATCCGTCACATCAAGCCATTCCAGCGTGAACCAGAGAAAGGACCAAAGGCATGGGCTGCTCTCAAGGGTGTACATGCTCCTGCAACAGCGGCGGTAGCGGTGGTGTTGGAACGGCAAATGGCGGCACTACGAATTGAAGAAGACGAAGCGGTTGAAGAAGGGGTGCAGAAATTCTTCGACTTCTTGACGCGGCTTGAGGGAGCTGATTTGAACTACAGTGAGCTCCAAAAGAAGACCAAGTTGCTGGCCTTACTCCCAGAGTCATGGTCCTCGCTCATCATCAACCTTAATCGCGACTTGCCCCGCCTCTCGCTTGAAGACGTGAAGCGAGCTATCCTTCAAGAGGATTTCCGCCGCCGTGAGTTGGCGAGTGCGGATGGCGCTGGGGCAGCGAGCATCGGCCGTGGATATGGTCGAGGAAGAGGCAGAGGACGAGGGGGAGGAAGTTTTGGTGGCAGCAACTTCGGCGGAGGCCGCAGGAGTGGCGGTTACGGCAGCGACGACAAGAGCTACGGACGCGGTCGCGGCCGATTCGACGGCGAGTGTCACTATTGCCACAAGAGCGGACACATGTGGCGCGACTGCTACAAACTCCCTGATGGTTGGACCCCTGCTCAAGGCCAAGAGGGTAGAGGAGCAGGAGGAGGGAGAGGACGAGGCCGTGGAGGCCGTGGCGGTCGCGGTGGCGGAGCTGCAAACATGAAGAGCGGAGACAACGACAAGGACCCGAGCGACGATCGATACCCGGGTCTATTCTACTTCGTGTCGACGCAAGTACCGGCTGGTCCAGAGAAGGATGAAGGCTTTGAGGAGCCAGCAGCTGTGGGGAAGGTGACCCTACACCCCCTGGACTATTGGGTGATTGATAGTGGCGCTACCTATAGCATGACACCTCGCCCGGACTTGCTCACCGAACTCGAGCCGTCACCGGTGAAGCATGTCACATCGGCTTTGGGGCAGCGAGCAGAGGTGAAAGGCATGGGCAAGGCCATGTTCAAGGGTGCTGATGGGAAGATGGTGGGCCTCAAGAACGTGCTTTGGGTGCCCAGCCTTGCTGCAAACCTGATTTCCGTGCGGCGGTTGGCAAAGGCCGGCATGGACACAAACTCGAAGGGAGCCAAGACCTACACCGCAAGGCTTGGCGATCGAATTCTTTGGGACCTTCATGAGGACAGGGATGTCTACAACGAGATGTGGCAGATCCCAGTGGTCCCTATGCCTAAGGAGAGGCAAGTGGCAGCAAGCATCAGCACCAAGGATGGAGCGGTCGGTAGCGACGATGGCGCGAACGGTCGCGCTAAGGAGAATGAGCTCAAGAAGAGCAAACCTGGAGGGACCAGCAAGTTCAGTGAACCTAAGGAGAGTGGTGCAGCAACCAAGGAGCAGCAAAAGGGTGAGGAGAACCCAGAGGCAGCAGCGGAGGAGGACTACGGAGAGAGTATGTGGGGCGCTATTGCGAGCGCGGCATTCTCCAATCCAACTTCGGCTACGGGGGAGTGTGATTGGCTCACCTTGCATCGGCGCATGGGGCATGTGGCCCTGCCCATCTTGCAGCAGCTAGTGAAGAATGAGATGGTTGCTGGCATACGTGTGAAGGGGGAGCCCGATGAGGTGCTTGGCTGCCCGACGTGCATTCAAGCCAAGTTCACCCGGTTTCCGTTCCCTAGTTCGGAGGCAACGGCAAAGGCACCGCTTGATGAGGTGGTGATGGACGTGGTGGGCCCCCTGAAGCTTGGAGCTGCTGGAGCTGAGTATTTTCTCACCATTGTCGACGTCTACACCCGCATGACTTGGGTGTACGTGCTGGCCAAGAAGAGCGACGTGGCTGAAACGTTGAAGACGGATTGGTTCCCGATGGTGGAGCGGCAACAAGACCGTCTAGTCAAGTCAATCCGCACCGATCGAGGGGGAGAGTTCCTGAGCAAGGAGTTTGGGTTGTGGCTGAAGAAGAATGGTATTCGGCACTCCCTCACCATGCCATACTCCCCTGCAATGAACGGCATCGCCGAGCGAGCGAACCGCACAATCACGGAGGCGGCACGCGGGTTGCTCATTGAAGCCGGGCTACCCGACTATTTCTGGCCTGATGCGGTGCGGAGCGCGTGTGTGGCCAAGAACAGAGCCTTGACTCATGTGGGAGCAGACAAATGGGTGCCCTATGTGGAGTGGCTAGGAAGGAAGCCAAAGGTGGATATGCTTCGGGTGTTCGGGTGCATGTGCATGGCGCTCGTGCCTAAGCATCTTCGGCACAACAAGCTTGGTGCCAAGGCGGTGTGGGCCGTGCACTTGGGCATGGCTCAAAACAGCAAGGGATGGCTTCTTTGGGACCCATTCACCAAGAAGTTCTTGGTGAGCAGGGACTGCAAGTTCATGGAGAACTTCATGTACAAGGATTGGAAGGCGGAGAATGAGGCGAAGAAAGGCGTGCGGTTTGGGGAGGTGAAGAGTTCCGGTTTGGAGCATGTGGAGCTGCCTTTGGAGCTGAGCAGCGGCAGCACAACCACAAGGCAATCCTCCCTTGTGAATGGGGGAGAGGAGGCCAATGATGCAGAGGAAGAAGAGGAGG